CTACAATGTATTTGAGCTCTACAACAAAATACTAGTTTTTAAAGCTCTGATTGTACAAATATTGTACAAGCCGCTAGGATCACATTCCACAAGGCAGAGGTTGCAACTGCTTTTTGTGAAGATCACATACATGTTTGTACATGTGCAATGTGTTTTATTTCAGGACATTCACCTTACTGCTGCTCATTTTCCCATATTTGAATATTGTGCAGACTGGTTTACCCTTCAGGGCATCCAGGGATGCGCTTTGTATTACCAAGCAGATGCCACGGTTAGGCAGAGGGAGATCTTGCACAAGCACGCATTAAAATATCCATGGGTGTCTGAAGGTGCATGTGTGACTTCTACTCACTTCAAAGACTAAGGAATGCAGTTCTGGAAGACCTTTTCGTCCCAGTGTGTTTGAGCAGGTATTTGTGGATGCGCTAAGCAGGCAGTCTGGCCCAGCAAAGCAAGTCAGTTCATAGAGGGTGTACAAAACTTTTTTGCAGAATGGCTACACAACTCCTCCAAATCTTGCCTATAAGTTGAAAAAAGTTCCTGTACTCTGTATTTCTGATATGGACTCTCCATACAGAATTTTGTATTTTATTATGAAAATCAAACACTTAGCTTGCTTCACCTGAAGTTCCCACACCTTTCTGGAGTGAGAAACATGCCTTTAGAGAAGAGATTCGGTTATGCCTTTCAGATACGCAGCACTGCAGCTCATAGTTCTTTATAATTCATAGATCACTAACAGCCCCAAGACATGCTATAACCATGTCAATGAAGTGTGGAAAAGTGACAGAACTTCTTGCCAGTGTCTGCTCTTTGTGCCCACTAAAATCAGTATTAATAGGCCAATTGAATTCTGTGGAGGAATTTGAACAAACACTGAGCACTTAATTCATTGTCTTGATAATGTTATCTGCAATTTTCCTTCATCACTTTATAAGAGGGAAATATGGATATGGAAAACAGCAAGCAGCATTTAGGTGGTCAGACACAAACATCTATACCTGGGAACTGCTGCACCATGAGACACATTCCATAACACAAACACGATGTCCTAAACACAGAACAGTAATGTTGTGCACTAACCACATGAGCTCTAGGGTCTCAATCTCCCATTTTTTTCCTGACCAGATTTTCTTAAATTCAGTTCCTAATTTTCTCTTCTCTATACCACAGTTGAACTCATCGAGTCTCTGCTGAACATGTATTTTTAGTTATATGGTCTACCTGCAAACAAACTAAAGGTACAGAATGCCCAATTCCCAATAGAAAATGTGGTTCTATAACCTAGATATGCATGTACACATTTAAGAGATTATCAGAAATTGTTAAGAAGCCAGAAACAGCTCCTAAGCAGTTTTTCACTTCGAGAATACTGAGATTTTTCAAGTGCAAGCAAATAACTTAATTTACATTTCCAGATTTCTAAAACAAATCAACTCTACTCTTTGGTATTTTCTTCTAATGATATATAGTCAATTGAGTGGTCTCAGGAAAAAAAAAATACTCTTCACATGATGTTTTGGAAAAAATTGTTCTTGCTTTTGCTAGCCTGCAGTTTGTCAAGTCTCTCTGTAAATACACTTTTCTTCCTCAAAAATACATGACTCCATAGTTGAAAAGGAGACTGGATGCAAAACAAGCTGTCAAGTGCCCTCTTAACTAAAATTTCAAGCATCAGTTTTACATCCACTGAAAACAAAATACACAGTTCACCTAATTCCTAAAAAAAAAAAATTTACTCTTTTTATACAGCACTTACCTTTAAGTCTTGCAAAGTGCTTACAAGAACTGTAGCAAGAAATATATAAAAAACTTCATTCTTATAACAGAAAACCCATACCGACATACCCATTATAGCTTTTGTTGTTGATCCTGACGGTAGTGAGACAGAGATGGTTGCTATTCCAAATAACTATTTCTAGCAGACCGTTTAAAAATAACCTAAACTCTGTCATACCCTGAACGCCTTGCAAATACTGGGCAGAGACAGGAATCGTATGTCAGTACTATGATTTTGCCTGTGCTCCTGCAGCTTAGCGTTGCAGAGAGCAACTGAGAAATGGCCTTTCTGCAATTACGCAGCTTTAACATTTTCTCTGTGAAAAAAGCAGTAAGGTTCAGCCTAAAAAAGTATAATCATATTCTTCTGAGTGGCTTCCACCTTGGAACTAGTCATAAGTAAGATATTACAGAACTACTAACGTCAACTTACTTCCCATACAAATTTACAAATCACAAACTTCTGTTAGGAAAAAAAAGGCAGTTCAACATGTTGTAGGTGGAGCTACACTTGAATTCCAGGAATATTCAACTACGAGCCTCTGATACAGCTGTCAGCTTATCGTGAGCAACAAGCACGAGAACATACCTGCCATTCCTTACATTCTGCATACCTTTCAGGTCTTCAGGGTAGCCTCTCCAGGATCTCGGATTTCACAGATTTCCTCTCTTACTTTTATTTGAAAACTCATGACATTCACCTAAATGACTGTGTTATTCAAAATACAAAATTTCTTTATGAAAGCATCAGGAATGTGGCAAATATAAACCACTCAAACAATGTCTTATACTTTGACATATAACAAAACTCTATTTTTGTTTATGGCAAATTATTTTATTTTGTAGAAGAAATACTTTCAAATAATACAAAAATGACACAATCATACAGAACTGTGACAAAAACAAGAGAGATGAATACTGAATATGATAACTCATTACCACATCAAGACAGAACTCATTACAGCAGTCAGAATCACAGATCCACAAGACACGCTGACAATGTCTCACAGCGGTCACTATTTAAAAAACACCAACAGAACCCCCTGACAGAGCAGCCACCAGACATTGCCCCTTTGTTGTACAGTCACAGAACAATTTAGGGTGGAATGGAGGTCCCTGCCTCAACCCCTGCTCTAAGCAGGCCTAATGTGACCAGGATGCTCCAGGCTTCATTCAGTCAAGTCCTCAACCCCTCCATGGACAGAGAGCTTCACCTCTCAGGGCAACCTTTTCCAGTATCTGACCACCTTCATGGGAACATGGTGTTGTCTGTTCTTAGTATATAGCACATATTTCTGGTGTCACTGCATAGTAACTTTTGATAAACGCTACCAGGTAAGGGCCTCCACTGAAAATGAGACACAAAATTCTGACTAACTGGTCTGTTCAAGTAATGAGCACTGAAAAGCTTGCTGTCCCTAGACTTTTACCCAAACACTAAAAGTTTGTTACATGATTTGGTTTTTATCTGCATAGTTCCTGAATGTGCCTAGTTGCACCCACGGAACTCAATATACACCCACTGAAGCTTACTGGCAAAAACAGATTTCAGGATGGTTAGCACGATAAATGCTACATATACTTTAACTTCACATGTATTTCTATACAATCGAATCACTCGATGCCTGTAATTATAGGCCATCCTAGGAAACAGGGAATATTACCTTAAAATTAAATGTCTGCATTCGTTATCCTCATTGATTAATGATTTAGGTTTATGATCTTTTCTCCCCATTAATTTTGCCTCAGCTTGGACAGGTAAAAGCAATTAAGTTTCAGTTTCACTTTCAAGCTTTCTTGATCTTTGACAAGGGAACAGAGTATAAGCTCTTGAAACTCACAAAGAACACTTACTTACAAAATATTTGAAAATATTCTGATTGGTTCTGGTAAGTTTGTTTAGCTTTTGGCTGCTGCAGTTTTGATCTCCTGACATATAAAATCTGGAATTGATTAATTAAGAAACAGCATGATCTTCCTTCTAGGAAATTTCAGCAATTGGCAAAGTCAGTCTTGTGTTGGACACCTCTCTTTGTAGGTAATGTATAATTAGAAAAATATGAGAAACTATTATAGTAGCTTAGTAAAGAAGTATTTTTACATACTTGCAGGATGCAAGGGCATAAAACTGGCATTCTCGGGAATTTAGGGTGACAGTCTTCCATTAAAACAAGCAGTCACAAGTAAAATTATCTTACCGGATTTTAGCTGGTCCAACTAGCAATCAAGTGAGCTGTACCTTCCAGAATTATACAGTTGCCTCCTGGGAAGTGTCACTGTTCGACAGAACTTGCATGCAATAACCTCAAAGCACATCCTTTAGGATGAACGTGTGTTTAAGCACCCTTACTCGATGCAGCTGCTTTCCGAAATCAGCATATATGTACTTTTCTGAATCAGATCAGAATCTTTAAAACCGTAGAAATTGCTATAATATTCCCTCAGCGGTCTTTCCACACAGCCAGCTCACGTTGCTCTTTTAACTCCCTTTTCATTAAACAGTAAAACAAAGACCTGTCACCCTTTTCCTTCCTCCGTTTAAACTGAGAAACTAGTTAAGAATATAAAGATACTTTAGACACAACTGAAATGAAAACAATCTATTAGTGCACAGTAAGAACATGCAAATGAATTCTGCAATGTTTAACATCACTTCTAATCAGTGTTAAACAAATTGCAGGTGATAATATTTTGCTATAACACAGACAGTGCTAAAGGATACAATGTACATAATAAGCTACAGATAATAAAGCTGAAAAAAGTGACAATTTTAGAACATAGTATTTTCATTTCAGGTATCAGAAACAAAACCAGCTCAATGGTTCCATTCTACTGTATGACAAATACTGAAGAACAAAATTTCAGTCTTAAAATACATCTTAAAGTAGGTATTTTCCTTCAAGGAAAAAAGGCACTATAAATAAATTACACTACAGTGAATTTGCCTGAACTCACTTTGTTTCTGTCTTCCAGCCTTTAAGTCAAATAAAACAGCATAAAAACTGTACACGCTCTTAACAGGATAGTCGATCTTTTATAAAATAAGTTGTCTTCAGAGATGTCAGTTTCACAACAAGGAAAAACCAAGCCTTGTTGTAGTCGCTATTATAAAATATATATGTATATATATTTATATATATGTTTTTGTTTACTTTTACTTTTTTTTACTTTTTTTATTTTTTACAAAACGTGTATATTAGCTTTTGCACATTTTTTTTTTAAAAGAAACTTGGCTAATCTAATAACTTCATTAAAATAAAAGCGATAAATACTTCATGTTTACAATGCAACATGTCATACATCATCAGCTGGCAGAGGAGGTATGTTAATCCTTGGTCTTGTAAAAAAAGCTATCTTCTCTCTGTGATAAAACAGGACAAAAAGGAAGTCAATCAAATATATGTCTACTATTTCCACCCCCCCACCAAGAACACGGTTTCTTTACTTTGGTTAGTGGTTAGTATTCGTTACTTACATACTGATGGTTTATTTGAGCACAAGAAACTTAAAAAAAACTATTAAACCTTACTGTATACTTTTGGCAACGTCCCGTTGAACACAATTATTATTTTTGAAATTTAGGTGGAAGCTTTATATGACTCATGAACCCGTCACAGTTAACTGCAAAAAGGTTTCACAGGACAAGTCCTGCACAAACCCCTTCTGCAATGCAAAGTTCACCCTTGTACGTTTTGCAATAATGTCTACAAAAAAAGGAGGCAAAAAAAAAAAAAGACTGTTCAGAGTCATCTTTCTGTTTCTTTATTGAGCAAATAGTACATGCTGTAAAGTAAGTGTCATAAGAAATGGATGTGTGCATAAAAAGGGAAAGAATTTAAACAAGGAAGAAAGCTTTTGCTTCATTTACTACCTCTCATTTTATTTAGTTCCCCATATCTTCTTATATCTCAGTAGATAAAGCAGAAAAACCCCTCTCTCATTACCAGAAACATAAGATGTAAAAACAACCCTAAAATTTCTATTCCTGTTACCTCCTCCCCACCTTTGTGAGAAAGGCCTTTCCAACACAATTCAAGCAAAAAAATTACATTAAAGGACAGACAGCTTTTCTATTTCACTTAAGTATTCCTTGCAAAAAAAATTCTGAACACCTAAGCACTGGATGACATGGTATAACATAACATTGTAGCTGAGCTGCCCTCCACATCTATGCTGCACTAACATTTTCTTACTCTTACAATAAAAATTATAAGAATCTTCATGCTGAAGTAATAAAGTTTTCCTGTGAAATGCACATTGCTTATCAATGCCACTTGTACACAAAATAAACTATCAGAACAAAAAATAAAGCTGAGAGGATACATACCATGTGAACACAGATGACATAGGAGAAAAAAATTCTAAAGAAAAGACCTCTTGAGAGAAAGTTGGAATATTATTAAGCAATTTTTAGGGAGAGAGTGTTACTAGTCATGTACGTGTGTTACATTAAACAAACTATTTATGCCCACAGGCTTGCACTGAAGAACTGACAAATCATTTGAACTTAATAGCAACTAGGTTAAGTTCAAAGAACCACCTGAGATACGTTTGCATTTTAAGACTTTTTTTAATTTTTGTTTTTAATTTCATGTGTTTTAGAACTGTAACACTGCAATTTTACTTCAGCTTTGGCTCTTTGCACTACAAATAATTCAAAGGAAACTCAAGTGTCCAAATCAATACACAGTTAAAAATCACTGGCTATACAGGAGACACACAGAATTTAAGCTAAAGGCTTCAGAGAGCTTTAACCTCTCTAATGAAGTGTTGCTGTGCTATTTCAGTACATATTACCACTTACCTAAAAGTTTGCACCTGAACAGGCTCCTTCTGATTTTGCCCACGCAACTGGTATATTTCTTTTGATGCTTTCTTTAGCATCTTTTCAGCTGCTTGCTCTTGGTGATGTTCAAATTTGGTCTGTCTGGTCTGAAAACAAGAATATAATGCTTGAAATGGTCATGTGAATAAATGACACAAGAATATCCAGGTTAAAATAACGTGGGTTTTTTTTCCCAGTCACCACAATAAAACCACACAAGTACGTTGTCTGAAATAGTTGATCTTCTTAAGAACTATAAATTCAAAAGACTGACAAATGTTATTTTGTTTCTTAATGCTCTTCAGACAGATATGTATTAAAATTCATGAGACTTGCTGCACATAGATCTGCAAACAAGATCTTAAAATAAATTTAGGCTCACTCTTTGTCTCTGATAATCAAATGACAATTTTGTTTGTTGTGCAGTTTTTGCCACTTTTTGCCTACAAATTCTTTCTCCAAGAACCAGGGGGGGTGTGAAATCACATACTTAGGGAACATTCCAAATATTTGTAAAAAATGAAATATAAAATCAGCAATATTTCTTTCAAAGATCAGAAGAAGTTATTAAAGTTCCAATAATAAATATCTAAAACAAAACAACAAAAAAACCCACAAAACAAGAATCCCCAAACCAAAACAAAAAGTACCATTGGCAAATAGTGCCGCTCTCCAGTAATTGTCCTCAAATAAACAGAGTTTGGTAATAGCCAGTGCAATAATTTTTATTGCGCTAACTTCAAGAATATAGAAGCAATGTTCATTGTTTGAAGTTCTGTAAAAACAGCTCTTTATACATCTTATCACAATCCAGAAATTTTGAACCCAAAAGTTTCTGAACATGTTGAGTGCTCATCTCACGTTACCATACCTGCCTTTCTGCTTCCTTCAACAAGTTTCGAAATCGCTCATCCCGAAGAACCCAGTGGGGTAGATCTGTCTGCCCCCTGAGTTGGGCATCTTCCAGACGCTGTCTCAACTCTCTTAACACACATATCTCCTCATTCAGCTGTCTCTGTCTAGTTCTGGATGCCTGGAGATCCAGCTCCAGGTCTAAGGACGTCCTTGCCATAAGCTCAGCCAAAGATGATCTGCAGGACTGCTGAGTTATTAGGATGCAAACAAAACACACAATGTATTACTCTCAACATGGTATACTGGTCTACCTTTAGCTATATAGCACATACATTTTCTGTACTTACTTGACATACAAAGTCTTTCTTGACACAAAGTTTTGGAGTGACTACTTGTATCCCACAGTGAAAGGCTAACTAGCTGTAGGGGTTTTCTGTACCATACAAACTTTTTTCAATAAATGCTTTCTACTACCTCCTTTTAGTCTCCTTTTGGCTTAGAACTACTTAACTAATTTAAGTTTATGGACTAAACTTCCATGTTATGATGATAATATAAAAAGGATACAATATGAAAAACTCGTAACAGAGTCAAGACTTTGGAAAATAGTGTACTGAGCAAGATTCCTCTTAAAGGGCTTTATTCAACACTGGTTTTAAGATACATTCTGAATCAAAATGGGAGGCATGGCTGCCTAGTTGCCTACACCAGCAAGAAATTAACTTCTGCTGACCAGGCTAAACTGTACGCAATTTATACACAAGGCATTAACACCTTACCTGCCCTTCTCTGGCCACTTGCTCTGCAGTGTGCAGGGTGACGTTGGGGGTGAAAAGAGAGTTTAACCTATTAATTCCTGAATACGTGGGCCTCAAACACTACAGTTTGCTAGACTGCGTGGGAGGCAAGCTGGACGTTCTGCTGCCACATTCACACACACTTCTCTGGGCCTGCACTCAGCATCATAAATTAGATTTTAAAGATTTAACAAAGTTTACATCTAAATCAATAGAAATTTAGTCCCTATTAAACTAAATTTTGTCTGCCACACTTTTCTTTTCCTCCTCAGTAATTGTTCATAACTATATTTCACTTCTCTATGTCCACCTTTTAGCTTAAAAAAAACAAACCACGCACCTCTCCCACAATTACATTACAGAAGCCTTATACATTTCCTAAAAACATCAGAATCTACCTGTAGACATCTAAAGCTTAGGTATAAAAATTGTGTTCCAGCAATTCAGCGAAAAGTAAAAACCAGTTTCCTAGGTATACCTGCTTATACCGTAGAGTACGCCTCTCCAATGTATTCCGGACAAAAGGGGACTTCCTTGGCAGAGTTGAACTGTCACTGTCACTGCGATACAGCTGATTAGAAAGACATTGAAAATACAGGTTACTTACAAGGTTGTCTACATTAAGAAATCTGGAGATATATATTTTTGTTGTTGTTTTGAGATTTATTTTTTAAAATGCACTGAAAACTGTCTTAAGCTATTGATTTTTTTCAGCTTTAACTATTTATAAAAATTTGCATGTAATAGTGCTTATAGCGTATAGTTACAATAATTCAAGAAAACTTCAAAATCATCAATGTTTTAACAGCTAAGTTTTATCAAGCATTCACTAAATATCCAAGACAATGTAACCTAAATAATGGGGAGAGGGGAGTTAAAGGCAATACTATTTCTTCCTAAAGCATTTCCTGTCATGGGCACGAACAATACAGTCTCCTGCTTTTTTAACCATTTCTGATTTTAAATAAATGCAGACTAAGCGAGGATGTTTAACAATATTTTCCTTTTTGCACTACCTTTGTTCTGGTGTGTGAGGCTGTTTTACTCACGTTCCCTGTATCGTAAACAGATACGGAATCCAGAAATCAAACTGAAGAATGTGAAGGGGTCCATAGATGCACTGTGTGCAATGTAAACAAGGGAGCAAAAACCACAAGATCCTTGGTTTAGGAAAACGCATAAAAGTTCAAAACCATTAATGCACTTTCAATCTCAAGCTCTCAAAAGCTTATGAAAGACGACTATTAAAGCTGTGCATTCCACCAATATTGATCTGCAATACCGTAAGCCAACTGCTTATCAGCCTTTTGCTGTTGAACATACCAACCAGCCAACATGAGCTTGAAAACTGTTGTGCCGATCCTCAGTTACTTGCACCAGTGCACCCGGGTTCTAATCCTAGGTCCTGCTGTAACAGGCATCCTATGACTGACATTCATAGATTCATAGATTTCTAGGTTGGAAAAGACCTTAGAGATCATCCAGTCCAACCGTCGCTAATTCCCCATTAAACCATATCCCTAAGTAGTTCAAACACCCTTTTCTTAAACACATTCAGGGATGGGGACTCAACCACCTCCCTGGGCAGCCTATTCCAGTGGCTGACAACCCTTTCAGAGAAGAAATACTTCCTAACATCCAACCTGAATCTCCCCTGACTAAGCTTATACACATTTCCTCTTGTTCTATCACCCATCACTAATGTAAAGAGCCCTTCCCCTACCTCCCCACCATCCCTTCTCAAGTATTTGTAGGCTGTAATCAGGTCTCCCCTCAGCCTCCCCTTCTCCAGGCTAAACAGCCCCAACTCCTCAGCCGCTCCTCGTAAGTTTTATTTTCCAGCCCCTTGACCAGTTTAGTTGCCCTTAAGTCATGACAGCAAACAGAGTCATAAGAACATTTATGCAATAACCCTAAGATTATGCAGCATTCAGTCCGCTTTTCTAAACCTTTAGGTACCTGAAATTTAAACATGGCTTCTAAGCTAATTGTTTATACACCTCATTAGACACCATTGTACCTCTGTAAAAATCAATCTCCCTAGCATAACATCTAAGGTTGCCGGGGAAAAAAAGCTTAATATCTAATTTATCATAAATTCTTAAATTTTAAATGCAATAAATTCAGGTTTAAACATTTAAAAAGAAAAAGAATCAGGGGACCTCTTCCCCACTGCAATTTTTAAATTCAATGAAAGATTATTCATTAGTATTAAAAAGTAGTATATGGTTCTTATAAATGCAATAAAGACTTAAGAAGAAATTATGAAAAACATACAAAAAACTTGTGTGGAGGCCCCTTCCCCCCTTTCTTTTTAAGTCTTACTCACTCTGCAAACATATTGACTTCGTGCTCCAGGCGAGAAAGTCTGGGAACGAACAATAGTGCTACTGCGAACAAAAGCAGAGCCTCGTGGTCTGCGGCTAGTTCTCTCTTTTGGAAGAATAGGAACTTCTTCAGGAAACAGATCCTCAGTGTTAGTTTCCTTATCCACCTAAAATTTCAATAAAGGATTTTTTTTATTTTTTCCTTATTTTCTCTCTCTCACCAGAAACAATCAGGCATTTCAACAATATCAAAAGTAAACAATTTGCCCTGCTAGCTAGGTGCAAGTTTTAAGGAGCACTGAGAACAGAGGATGAATCACCTCATTTTTTAATAAGTTTTAAAACTAAGTCATTTGAAAGTATAAGATCACCTTTCAGAAGCCTTTGCTGGAACAGTAACAATTATGAGATGCAGTTATAATGTGAATCATAGCTGCAGAGCACAAAGACTGCATTCAGGATTGGTAATTGGGCATTAACCAAGCTACCACCTGATCTCCAGCCTCGATAGAAAAAAACTGAGTGACCTTTCAATAAGCAAGGTGACTCTGAAGGAAGCAACCACCTTAAAACTGGAGGAAGTCAAATGAAGGGAAGAAACTCAACAAAAGGGAACTGAAAGACTGTTAAAACAATGATATAAGAACATGAAAATATTCGAAAATACAGAAAACATATGCTACTCTAGCAAAGCTTTCAAACTTGAAGATAACTCACTCCTCATTAAGAGATATAATCTTCCCTAAAGGCAACACAAATAGCTCATGTCCCTCTGCTTCAATGGAAGTGTGCTGATTTCACCTTTTTGAGGATTATTTTCAATGTCTCGCTATCTTAATACAAAAGATTTTAAATACATCCGTTTCAGCACAATTTTTCTGAAAATTTCAACTGTAATTATCGTAACACTGAAACAGCAATGCAAGTCTTAAAACATTAAATTTCTTCACAATTCCTTCAAAAACTTTTACTTCTAAGAGCATGGGAATTTGATCATGATCTTTTCTCTTACAATTTCGGGTCAACACTAACATTGATACAAGTGCATGTTTACAGATTAGATAAAGGCCACAGTGAAAGCAGCTTGAGCTTGCCTTTCGCTGTAAAAAACTAATTCTGCCCAGAAATAACCAGCAAGCAAACAAAAAACCTCAGCCCCAAAGAGGGCATTTTTAACAACTCGAAAGGCACATCGCTGTCATGAAGGCAGTGCTCATGTAGGGTTGTTAATGTCATTTCTAATTCTTTTGTCTCCTGATCAATTTGAACTCAAACTCGAGGAGCAGCAGTAGCACACTCCGTGTGTGCCAGGCAGCATGGCAGGTTCCGTACTGCAGTGTCTTCTCTTGTTACCTTTAGTGGCGGAGGCTGCATTTTTCCAGAACTGTACTGGCCTGCTTGAGTTGCAAACATGTGTCCAGCTAATGAATCCCCGCAAAATGGCTCTGGATAAGGAGGACTAGTCTGGGTGCAATTACTGCATCCACTGTCAACAGATTCTGCTTGCCAACTCCTGAAGTCAGAACATCACAAGAATTTTGTAGGTATTAAAAAAAAATCATGCAATTATGTGTCATGTTTATAAATTCCATTATCCAGGTCAGTTTATCATTTTAGACTATTATTTCTCCAACAAAATCACAGAATTTTCAAAGGGAGAACATATCCCACTTGCATTTCTGCAAATGCACAGACAAGCAAACACATTTAATTCTATATTAAGAAAAAATCAGCTTCCCTAAATTTCTTAAAGCATATGTTCTGGTCTTTACAACAACAATAAGAAAACAATAACAAAAAGAAAAATGCAACTCACATAACAAATTAGGAGTACTATTAATGATGAAACAGCATTGTAAGAAACCCTAAAATACTAAGAGCTATGTTGCATGTTCACTCCGTAAGCATTGTAATGCATCTCTCTCTCTGACAATTTTCCACATCACCACAAAATTTTTAAATTTTTTTTAGCACAGTACTGTTGCCAACCCATTACAGTTGCCTCCCTAGCAACTGTAATATCCTTCTGTTAGATATAAGGTTTTCCCACTCCCCAAATTCCAAGTTCTCTAATCTCAGTCAGCTATTCAAGTAAGATTTTCTCCTGTTTGCATATCATCATATAATAACAGAATTTTATACTCGTAACACTAATGGGGAGCAGATCTCAGAATAAGGACCTGCTGTTTCTGCTGCTGTATTTCAGACTATACCCATAGTGTAAATATCACTTGGCTGTTTGATGAGGTATTTAAACTACTATTTTTACCTTTCTGATATGGCTTCTGCCTGATCTTCCTTTCTTTCCATCTCCAGGATTTCCTCTTCTGTGTACTCCAGTTTCACCCTCTCTTCTGCCAATTCTCTCTCAACTGCTTCCAGCTGGGCAGTTGTCCTAGCTAACAGGGCTGTCACTGCATCCTGAAAGGTAAACTAGACCTCAAATAAAACTGTTTGAACAGGTCATTATTTTTAATGTATATTGTTCAAAGAAAATAAAATAAAAACATAGACATTGTACATTCCTTAAAAAAAACCAAAAACACAAAAACAAACACCAAAAACAAAACCTCACAATCCACAACAACCCCGCAAACCCAAAACATCTGACCTGAATCTTAATGATCAAAAAGTACATGGTGCTCCATGAATGCAACTTCAACAGAAACTGGGCAGACTTTAGCTCACTGTGGAGCATCATTCAGCAGTTGGGTCAGAAGAGACCTCTGGAGGTCGCCTAGTCTGATGTCTTGCCCAGAGCAAGGACAGCTTCACAGCCACATCACGTTGCCCATGGCCCGGTCAAGGGCTGAGAAATCCCCAAGGATGGAAATTGCACAGCTTTTCTTGACAATCTCTTGAAGTGCAGTGGCAGACATTTTTCATGAGTTTTAGGTAGTTGGACTGGAAGCGTGCATACAAACACACACAAAATACTCTTTCAAGCACCTGTCCAGATGTGATCTAGCTTTTAATTATTCTTTTAAAATCCAGCTCTTGCCACAAGAGCTAAATCAAGGTACCACCTTATGAGCACCTCGAAAACAAACTGCACCTGAGATAAGATCATAAGCAATTACCCAGCAGGTCAAATAAAGTAAACAAATCACTTTTTCAGGGCCATACTGTTTTAACTGTAGTTACATTTCCAGAAGACCGGGGAATACTTTCTTCGCACTGGTTTTTGTTCTTTGCTCTCTGGGGGTCTGAACCAGTGAAGATCTGAACAGAATACCAGTGAAGCTGCATCTCACCAGAACTCTCTGCATCAGTCAGGTTTATCTGAGCAATGCCCTGTAAACAACAAAAAGCATTGACGACAATAAGATAAACATACATCGCAGGATAGACACCTTCTCCTTTAAAGAGTATTTTATTTATAATGTAAAAACCTCACTTGATCAAGTACTAATAGTGTCTCTTACAAAGAGACAGTTTTGTTCTGTTGTGTTATGACGTCTAAATAATCAATTTCTTGCCTCTCACTTTTCTTGCCACCAGAAAAGATCAGAGCAGATATACAAATTTTTTAAGTTGAAAAATCAAATTTGTATGAGTGATGTAGATAGGATTGTTACAGCTCAAAACTCTAAGTATTTTCTTAAAAAAAACCCTCTGATTTCTGCATTTGCTTAAACTAATATTCCTTTAACAATGTTACTTTCATCTGTTTTCTTTTGAAAGAACTATATTCTGAGATACTCTTCCATTCTCTGGTCCTCAGAGGCATCATCCAAAGGGGAAAAAAATACCGTGTAAAACAAATTTTTTTTTTCTGCCTCTTTGTATCATAAGGTAGTCAAATGGGCCATAAAGCCATTTTTCCACTTTCCAAGCCATCCTTATATTTTCCAGAATCAGATGAAAACAGGTTTAATGGAGGCTTCCCACTAAAAGTATTCCCAACTTTAAAGTATCCCTACTCCATTAGGCAGTGCTCAAGTAAGAAATTTCTGAATGGTGCTGACCTACACGCAAAAAAGCTGTGAGCAAACCCATGCCTTTTTTTTTTTTTTTTAATCAGTTCACTAGCTGCACCTAGCGATGATTTTATATTAGCTTGCCTTATTTAACTGGTTCTGGATTTGTTTAGCTATCTCTACAAGCTGTTCATTTCCATGCTAATGGACCACACACTAAGAATGTTTTCATTTATACCACTAGAAAAGTCCTGTAAAAATTGTTTTCATCTCTCACAAAACAAATAGCTGGATGCAATGATTCTAATTGTAAAGACAGTAGCAAATGTACACAGAAACTGCACTGAAATTTAAGCAGGGTAAAGAAACAGTTAATTAGAAAATAATTTTTTTTAAATAATCGTATTGTTTTTCCAAGATGAATGTTCCCCAGGGCACTGTTTACACAGGTGTATAAAGGACAATGGAGAAAAGTTTTTGAGACTAACAAAAGAATGTCATATCGGGATACAACATATTACTGAGAACATCATTTTTTGTCAGTATATTGGATGCTACAAACATGCCTTTTCTTTTTCATGTATAAAACAAGAGATGTCTTCTACTTGTTCTGACACAGTGCAAGAAAGATACTTACACTTTTCCATCAGAGTTGTAAAATGTTTAAGACATGCTGCTGAGTTTGGTTTTAGGGGCAGAGGGGAGAGCTGTTTTCCTGTCACCAATATTGTAAAAAAACATGTTGACTCTTAAGATGTCTGACGCTCCCCTACACATTGCATTTATTAAGCGGCTAAGAAAGTGTGACAATGAAGCTGTTTCTAGAAAGTGAATGACCAATTGGGTAGAAAATCACCCTCAAACGCAATTAATAATTATCAATACTGAAAAGATTAATTAATATTTCACCTCCACCTCAAGATTCAGAGCTCGCTCCATAGGATAAAGAAACCAAGGTGGGTCTGCTAGCAGTCTGTCACATGCCTGCTCTGATGCATTTAACACCTTGGATGGGAGAATAGTAAAAGTGTTTATGAATCTCTCAGTGATGTCAAACAGAGGGATTGTAAAATTTATGAGAAAAGGATCAGAATTTAAAATAATGTTAAAAAATAAAACAGACGTTCTGAAATAAAACCAAGAAATACAAAAAGAGAAATGTTACACTCAAGAAGAAGAATTCAAATAAATTAAGACATGGGGAATAATCATTTGGTCAGGGCTGTAAAGATCAGAAACCAGGAGTGAAACAGTAATGCCATGTGATTGCAAGAAAGGCAATCACATTTCTTTGATGTTTTAACATGAGCTATATGCGCTAACCATGGAAAATAACTCCCTTATCTCAACACTGATGAGGCCACCAGGGAAGACATAAGCATGAAACTTAAGGAAGCACAGTTTCAGAAAGCTGTAGGAAAACTGAAAAAGATCTATCAGCAAGTAAGGGCACATCAGTAAAAGGCTGAGGGAATGGAAAGACCATCCCACAAGTTCAGTAGATTTACTTCTCTATGTAAGCGAAGTTTAAAACTATTTGCCCAAATACGTTTGTCTGTGTTTTTTTCATTCCCCGTTGTGTACAAAAAGAACTTGTTGAACTTGGGATAAACTCCAGCATGGCTTCTGCGTTTAGGAAAGCATTCAACCAGCATAATCCAATTGAAAAGAAAGCAGTGATCAAAAACTTCAGAAATACGTGGATGATGAAATCAATGGAAAAAAACTGGTAATCTCAGTGGAAGAGATTTTGAAAGACAATTATAGAGGACATCACAGCAGTTCCAAAGAGAGGTAGGAAATGATTTCTCAGTTTGAGAAAATGCTTATTTTCACTCTACAGTAAAAGAGGGCAACGATCATAATGTTTAAATACATACTTCAATGCACCTACCTTAAGAAACCATGGCATTGTTTCTCTCTTTTTGAGTGGCATTGTTAACTTACCTTAAAGTATGTTACCAACTACTGTAGACAAATATTTCTGACAAAACTACACTAATACTATGAAAGAGAAAAAACTACCAACAAAACCTGGAGATCTATCTTTTTGCTAATTCAGTAATAGTAGTTAAAATAAAAGCACACTAAACTTAGATGCACTTGTGTCAATGTAAAGATGCTTTACACTGAAATAGCTATTTAGCTTCCCAGAGAAACAGGCTATACCAGCATAAAGCATTTTACACCAAAATATCCAGCCCATTCTTGACATGCTTTCTCTTTCATTAGGTTGTAGTGCAAAAATGACAAAACTTCCAGTGCCGACAAGACCTTGGCTCTGCTTCTGTCAACATTAAGACCACCATTCATATAAGATGCTACTTAGTTTTAAAGGTGGATTAACAAATAGGCATTCTTGACCAGATTTGCTCAAATACCACTTACCCATACTCCAGCATGAGAGTCAGATGCTTGTACCTCTTACCTACTTTGATAGACTTTCAAAAAAAAAAAAAGATGTTCACTAATCCATTCAAACCTCTCACTGAAATGCCATCCCACTGACTTCAAAATAGCCAGGACATCAGCGTCAAGGCAGATTTATTTAAGTATATTTACATTTGGAAATAGCTAAATGAAGTTAACATGTAACACATTGTTAAAACAGTTAACACAAGTAACCTGTTTAAACAACTGCTACATTTATTTGAATTCATCTCCATCAGACAACTCTATCAGTTTAAAGTAAACGGTGTAACAGAAACCTGCCTGGACCACTATTATCCTGCAACAAAGTTACCATTGATACAATAGTAGCCTTTTTGGACCACTGTTACATAGCAACAAAGGGTTTGTATTTGTTATTATTAGGAAACTATTTTACTGGTACTGATTCAGCATGCACACCTTACAGTGCCATGCAGAAACAGAAGTCTTGAGCACAGTGTAGTCTAAAAGCTGTCAGATTAAGTCTTTAGGGAGAAGTTTAATTTTTACACAATGCTCTCTCTCTCCTGCACCAAAATTTAGCAATGGAAGATTTTTCAACTTTCCCCAAAGCAGACATTTGTAAGAAATACATTAAATAAAAAAAAAATTAACTCCTTATCTACTAAAGCCCATAGCAATCAATGTAAATGTTATATCCACTTTCAATTATGTCTTTGCAATGTAACAGTTAAGCAATAGTACACGTAACTTTGAACACTGCTTAAAATGCTCCAATTCTCAACCTCTGCTAATGTTGCTAAATTTCCAAGACACTGTGTAACCTGAAGTGCATATATTTCAACTTTTTAAAAATTCCTCCTTTCACAGATACTCATATATTTTTTTATTAAAATAATCTTATGTGAACAGACACATTAACATATAACTCTATTGATATTTCTTACAGAAAAATAAAGTCTTCACTTTCTCATTTCAATCTTAAAAATTATTTCTCAAGTAACTTTAGTTTCCCATATTACAGAGCTTTTAAGAAAAAGGACCACTTACCAACAGTTCTTCTTGTTGCTGATGATCAACTGAACAGATATACAGCTGCAGTGATTTTAATTTCAAAACACTTGAATGCACGGGGATTCGGAAAATTTCATTAAATATTAATGGACTTTGGAATTCCAAAGCTCTAGAGCAGTAAGTGGTTGGTGTGCCTGACTCAAGTGGTGGCAAATAAACTCTCACATGACTGGGAAAAACAAAATAGACAAATAGCATAATTGAGATAAAGAAAGCTATTTTGCATTTCTCAAAATCAAGCTAAAGCAAAAACATCAGTGTCACTTCTACATTAATAATCTGCTCTGGAATCTCTTTGTTACAGGAGTTTACTTTGTATTCTTAACACAGAAGATCTGCAAAGCTGATTTGAAAACCCTACCTTTTTCCAACTAAAACTAAATTCTTCAACTTGGTGCTTAAGCAGAGTCACCAAGTGGCCTGAGATGCCCTGAGGTATCTGAGGTATCTACATGGGGCTAGCAAATATGACATAGGATCTATGGGAGAGCTACAGCCTTCCTGAGCAGCAGCAGCTGGAGGCCAGGTGCTATGCTATGATATTTCAAATGGAAACACATGCCCATGTTTAGGTGATTGAATTGCCGTGTCACTGATCCATTTCTTCCTTCCACCCACTAAGCATACCTTTTCCTCACCCCCCCCTTAAGAATCTCAGCACAAAAGGAGAGCAAAAGAAACATACAATTATTGCATTCATATGCCATCTTAAAAAAATACATTTAAATATCCAGTACCATCTCATTTGAGACTCCAAGCCAAAATCAAATTCCACAACTATTTTAATCTGACAGAAGGCAGGAGAGCTACTTACAGAAACGTTTCTGTGTTCCCCCTGTCCTGACTGCTTGTTCAGCATCTGCAATATCCTATTTGTTGCCATACTTTCCCGTGTGCCAGAAAACAGCTTCATGTAACTGTGTTGTGAACCAGATTAGAAAACTTATCTGGGTTAAAAAGCTAACCTAGCAAAAATTTAGGGATCAAAAAAAAAAAATCTAGCTCAGAGGCTTGCTCAAGTTGACTACACCACTGCATGAACTTTTATGCTACTACCAGCAAGGAGTTGACACTGACACGCAAGCAAATGGTTAGAGGACAACTGGAAGAGCTGACTATGGTGCATATGACATGCAGTGCTGCCATGTGGAGCATCAGTTAGCTAAACAGTTTTACATGCTCTAAGGACAGAGCAATCCAACTCCTCCATTCATCAGCTGCTGCAGGTAACTTCCTCCCCACTGCTCCCAGTAACTCTGATTCATTGAACATAGAGTTGCATGGAGGAATTCATTAAACTGGCTAAAAGCCTTTTTCTGGTTTTGGTACAATAAACTTCTTTTTTGACCAGTCAAAACAATTGATTTACCCTGCCACCATGCAACTGATTATTAACCACTTGCGCTGGAATCAGAGGAGGATGGGGAAGAGAACTGCTTTCTTTGAAAGCCACTTAGATGCCCGATTGCCTTGATGACAGTGTCCAATAAACCCTCTTTTACCTTGCTGACTCTACTTGACTTTCTTCAGACAGCACTTATTTATTTTTCTAATTACAAGGCAAAACGGCTGAGTACTACTCAATACTCACATTTTTCTCTACAGCATTCCCTTGCACTCACACTGAAAGCAAAGCAAAAGACTGACACTGATGCACTCATGGATATGAAAAATTTCCACTACAGGTTTGCAGAGTTGGCAAGATGAAGTGTTCTCAACAAAGATCAACTCATTCAGTGAGATGTTGTCAATTTCACAACTCCCACAGAAAGATTTTTATTACAATACAACGTTATCACACCTCTGTTTTCCACAGTTTTCAAACAATCTTTCCCAGAGATAGAGATCAGCAATTTCACAGGTCAAATTTCTTTAAAATTTATGTTCAGATACGTATCACTAGAAAAGACTCAATTTTATGGCAACATTGCCATTATTTAAGAAATGTTTATTAGAATAAACCAGCTTCTATATTAGAAGAATAAAACATCTTCTTTATTAGAATAAACAGCTTCTGGATCAGAAGGCATGGGGTGACAGAAGCATGACTGATGATTTTGAACAAACTTTCCTGTGCATAATAAACATGTAAGAACATGGGTCATTAGAGACTATGCTTGTTATCTGACCATTATGACAGAGGTTCTACAAAAAGGACGCTTTATGTCCATAAAATTAACCCTATCCTCATGTCAACTAAGATATACTATCTTCTCCAGAAATTAAATTAAAGTAAACAAATTTATGGTATTTACAATGTGGCACAAAACAAGCCATGATCAGACTTTAGGTGAAATTTAAGCTTACATTTTGCAGTTTTCTTTAACAACTAGACTAGTAAAGTTCTTCAGCTGTAATACATGGACTAACAGACATTCACTTCCACTGTCATGCCTGGAAAATAAATTTCCTGTGTTAGTCATCAAACATCAATACTATGCAGAAGAGAGAGAGATGAAAGACTAAAAAGATTTTAAGAATGTAAAAGCACCTTTTGCTGTTAAACAAATCTCTTAAGCAAATCAATTTGAATCAAAAGCAATTACAGATACCATACTGATAACAGAACATTATTAATAATATCAGCAACAGTAACAAAGTTATCATCAGAACTAAGAGAATTAAACATTATTCAATTTGAAAAGAATAATATTCCCTACTGTGACTCTTGATAGTGAACAGGTTTTATAAAATAAAATCCTTGGTTTAAACAGTTACACCATATGCATATATATATGTGCGTGTGTGTGTGCACATGTGTGCGTGCATGTGCAATGCATCAGTTACACTAGACAAATCAGTCTGCATTATTTTCATGAGTTAATGAAAATAAATAAAATATTCTACTCTTTCACATCGGCATGAATTTTGAAACAGAACTAACAAACCTCGTTGAGATTTGCAAACTCCCAATCTTGGGAGTCAGATTTTTCAAGGGGTAGAGACAACTCTGGAGGGCTGTCTAAAACATGACATCCTGCCTTGCACTGCTATAATCTGCCCTTCCCCACACTACTCCCACTACTAACAACAGTGTGCCCTAAGTGCAGCACTTTGAAGCTGTATTTGGGAGCTGTATTTGTATCTCTTCACTTGTTACTTCCCTAATGTAATAATCCTCCTTCATCTGGCATAAAAAGTCAGATCTCGCATACAGAGACATATCCCTATATCTATACACTCATTAATGGCCCAGACAATGGAAATACTACTGAAAGAAGTAATGAAGACCCTTTTATCAGCCAGCATTGAAAGGACACTGAATGAACCGTGGTTAAGGCACATGCCCAGCAGAAAGCAGCATGTGATGACTAATCTGCACATCCATTAAACTTTGGCTTTCAATTCAGAAACTTCTCAACACTATCCACTGCAGTTAAGTTTATTAAAAAGTTAAAAACCAAAACCAAGAAAACTAGTGAGCAATTCCTGCTAAGAAAGAGGAGTAACACTACTCACAGAAAACCAACATGTATTTGCGGTTCTTCGCTATTGGCAGCATCACCATAAATAGGCTCTTCCAGATCTTCATTCCTGCAGGAACAGAAAGTACTGTAAACTACACACTGACCTAAGCTATTAAAACATAACGAAATGAACATTCATTTTGTGATTTATGAAAATAAGCAATTGTTTGGTAATACAGGAGGGACTGGTAATACAGAAAGGACTAAGAAGGGATTACAGTTAGACTCAATGATCTTAAAGGTCTTTTTCAATCTAGATGATTCTATGATAAGATATCTATTTAAAAACACGTAGAAGTAGTAATTCACAGTTTTTTAAAATGAGGTTTTAGAATACCTCTTTCAAGGTATTTAGGGTAGTTTAATTTTAGTCTGTCTTCCATTTCTCTCTAGTATCCTCAAAATCTTATGTTCTTCCCAGTTACTGTTTATTGAGTTAAAACAATTGTATACAATAAAATATCTTTATCCATCCTTCAGTCACTTGGTCAACCTACATATTTTTAGATTGTCAGCAGTTCATATATTTCCTCCTTGCAGTTACACTTTTATCACACACTACGCAGAACTGTAAGTCACATTCTGCATAATTTTATTTCGTTATAGATGGTTGACATTAGATTACTGATTTACGACTAATAAGCTGAGAAAACTATCTTTCAAGAGAGAAGTATATAGTGTTAAAACGTTAGCGACAATGAAGTGAAAGGGACTTGGCACTTGTGAAGTTGACAGTGGAACTGGATGAAAAAAAAGCTTCTTTCCTTTAAAACATGCAAGCTAATATTCTTGCGTTACTAAGAGCTAGCAATTTTGAAAGCGTATTCAGAAATTTACAATGAATTCTTTCAGACCGTGTGGTAGAACAGGAATATTTCCAGCTTACTATGCATTTATACACCTGACCTTTTGCTTAAAGCTTCAAACACGCCACTGTCACTAGCCAGTGAATGATCTGAGAGACATGCTGAAACTCGCCTGGCTCTCCTCTCCGATCTTCTACCACTGTCTCCTCGCAGAGTTACAGCTGTCATGGAGAAAAAGTGGAGACAACATCAGCTCGAGGCAACCCCTCAAAAATTAAACAAGAAACACTTATTGTATCAAAACTAGTGGCAAAACAGCTGGCACACACACAGTTCTTTGCTTTTTCATCTAAGTTAAAAACCTAGAATACAATCAACCGGAGATTTTCTGTGGGAGAACTAAGGAAGGAAGTTTGTGGCTAACTTCTCTCTGACAAGACTAAGCATAAACCAATTGCATTGTTATTAAATGCTTTTCTAGTACAATAATCCCTCCTGGAGGAAGACTTACATTAATTCACCATATGTACACATGATATCCTAAACTTTTAAGATTTACCTACTGAATATACAATAGGCTGAAAACAAACACAGAGACTAATTCTTTTAAGAAGTTATCTGATAACACAATGTGAGGTTTTGTTCTCATTTGTTTCCTAATACAAAGTCTCAAAGCATACTGTTTATACCATCGCATAATAGCAGCTTTTATTTACAGTCTGAGAGGCATTATCAGAAAGAACCAGCACTTTCCAACTCACTCAGACCACTATTTTTTTCAAATTCTTGGTGACTGACTTTGAAAACTGACTGAGGAAGGAGGAAGCAAGATTCAACCCCTTTTTCCACCCTTCCCCGTGTCACCAGCAACACCATAAATAGCGACTCAGCAATTGTTTTCATGTCATAAGCGTATCAACAAAAATGATGTCATACATCAGGTCTCGCACAAGCAAATAGGTACAGCAGCTACCAATCCTTTAAAGGTACGTGCACAAGTGGCAGCGCTCAAGAATTGTATAGGTGAGGTTTTGACATTTCAATGACAGCTCCTAACTTGAAGTTGTTTTCTTTCACATACTAGAGACAGCCACTAAACAGACTTGTGGAAGTGCAGTTTCTTCACTGTGCAGTTAAGACCTTTAGCCAACTTTCCTCCCTTTTTGTTAAGGTTCAATGACTGTCCTCAAAGCAGAAAAGCAACGGCAAAGAGAAGCCACTTCAGAGGCAGGGGAAGCATCTTATTTGCTTCTACCCATGCTCAGAAACTCAGGCAGTATGGAAGTATTCCCAGCTTTAGCAGACACATTTGTGCACATCACAATGGAGGCAAGTACTAGCTGCTTACTGCCCCTGACTAAGGATGAAACATGCCTTACTCAAAGCAACAACTTGTTAAGGATCTCTGTTACGTGTTATCTTAACGCATCAATTTGAAAGGCTGGTACCTAATCAGTAAGTTTCCTTCAGCAGAGTGCCAGCCAACAGCCTGAGCTCCACCTGCAGAGCCCAGCTGAGGTACAGGCAACTGAGCCAATCCTCTGCATGGGACCCATCTCGCCTCCCATCCAAGCACCACCAGGACAGGACATCAAGACTTGAAGCTTGATTAAAAATCCCCCAAATGAATATAACTGCACCGCTGCTGTCAACAGAAGTGTCTGGCTAAGCTCAGCTTTAACCACTGTGGAACTGGCAGACAGGATGCACTAAGCCCAGCAGTGCTGCGCCCGTCTGAGGTACGTTCCTTTTCTCAGGGCACTAACACCATAAAATTCCAAAAGATATTCCAAAAAACACAGGGTCCTGCTTGGAGCTAAAATTCCGTGGTTCTGTCCCAGAATATATATAAAAAAAAAAAACAACCAAAAACCAAACCCCAAAAAATATGTCCCATAAACTGGACAGAGCTAGTTCTCTGTCCTTTTGGATCCCTACATAGCACTATGGACCTCCTCTCCAAATTCAGTGAAGGATTTAGACATCCTCAGCTATGCAGGGAATGTATCTGCTGTCAAGGACATCCCAAACCGCATTTGTCTCCACGCCTGGAGAAAGAACCACCCTTCCCCCCCACCCCCAATTACAGCATCCCCATCCTTACTGTACATCACACATCGTGCAGTGTGACCCATTTCATCCTCACCACAAACGAAAACCAAGTTCACACTAGCTCACAGAAAGCAAAGAAACTGTATTTGACCCATGCTCTCCTCCATATCAATTGTGCAAAGTGTTGAGTTTGGGGTTTTGGCGGGTTTTAGGGGATTTTTTTTGTTCATTTTTGTGGGTTTTTTTTGTTCTTGTTGTTTTGTTTTGGTTTTGTTTCAAGAACTTTTAATTTGGTGAGCTCACCTCTGAGTTCTATCACTGGTATTTACGCAGAATCAAAACTAGCACTCTGTAGAGACACCTTGTAGTATGAAAGTTTGTCAATAATTTTACATCACTGGGAAGAGGCTGAACTTCACAAAAGTGTATAAATTTTATATGAAATAAATTTAATGTGAAAGTGCTCCTATAATTTCTGTACTAATTTCAACAAGTTATACTGGAATGATGTTTTTTGTTTTTTGTTTTTTTTTTTAATAAGCCTTTGGCTGACCCCTCCTATGTGAACGCTTTGTATAGATGTAGTACATGAAAGACCTCATGGGCTCTCTCCTTTGGAGGTTCATGTTCCCGATTTGTCTGGAAGGAAAAGTTGGTCTGAAGCACCAATATAACGTCATGAGAAATTGACGTGTCACAACAACGTTGTAACTTGACGATGATTTGCCTGCTGCCTGTGGGCCATGGAAGCATCTGATAATATCTGGACAATTCCAGAGAATTTGAGAGATGCAAACACCAAAACATACCCTTGACTAGGGAAAAAAAAGTCAGCCGGAAATATTCGTTAAGAAGAAAGAAACATCGGATTTTGGTCTAAACTGCATAAGGTTTAGCACAAGCTACAGATCTTTCAACGCTGGAAGCTAAAGAATTGTTTAAAAGTAAAGTTTCTAAGATAGACAATTACCTTTCATTTTCTTATTTAAATAACAAAATCTGTGGACAATACATATGAATTCCCAGAACTACTAGGTGCCAAATCTTGATAAACATAAGACAGGTCTGATTAAAAGAATATTCTCAGGTGTCATCAGTTGAAAAAGTGAACTTCAAAAGGAAATTTTGGTGTCCAAGATTTCATTAGCTAAAACATACATAAAGAAATCTAAAGCATGTTTCACAAGCTTAGGAGAGTACAAATACTGCATATCAGCTCAAAATGCAGTAATAAAAGAGTAAAACACTCTCAAAACCAAAATTGTAGACACAAACAGACCTTACCTACCCATGATGCTGCCAGGCATTACTATGATACAATAAAGCTGAAGTTCACAGAGCACTTTTTTCAGGAATTTAACTCCAACCATGTGAATATATTGTTTAGTTGACATAGCAAAAAATTAAGTTCGCCATAATGATCACACAGATACAGCACAATATCAAACAAAAGCAAATGTAGCAAAATCCCTTGTTTCTTCACATGCAATTCAAAAGAACCCCAAACCAACAACCAACACTTCACACAGAAAAACACACTGGGAATTACAGGCAAAAACAGCACAGTAAGTAATTTCGGGTTCACTTACAGTGAATTTTTCTGTTGTGCCGCATGAGAAACGAGACAAAATGAAAAGCACACAATGATAAATCACCTTTTAGATCTATGATGATATTTTGCAAACAAGAGATTATTTAGACATTGAAGGAAACTTAGCACTTGAAAGATTATTTTAGAATAGAGAAGAAGAGATATTGAAGATATTAAAGCCCAATATTTTATTAACATGTTTCCTCCCACTCCCAGTTTTATAAATATGATGGATTTAACCTCTCAGGTGTACTCCCTCCACCCGCACACGCTAACATATTTCACAGTATGTCCCAGAAACAGGTGCAGAACAATAAAACAGCAGATCAGTAGCTGAACATCAAAACTGCAGCTCCCGAAGAACTCCTTAAACTTGCTCAAGTGCTGCTTCAGTACAACGTATGTGCAGTTTATTCACTGCTCACTCTCCTGGACCTCAGAGGCCGCAAAAACTACCTCATATTTTGTCTAGTGAAGGAACAGGCAAAGATTTGTCTGAGATAATACTTACTGGTTTTCCAGTGTCGCATTACGTTACCAGACCATTGGGTGGCAGCAGCAAAGCACACTGCATAGTACCTTAGTGAAAACCAAAACCCCTCAACATCTGGGGTTCCCAAACTGTGATACACGAGCTTCATGCTCCATCAAATTCTTCAGGAAAAGAGTACAAAACCAAAATAATTTCGAAACTTCCAACTGCTACTTGCAAACAACTGCATTACAATTGCAAACCCACCAGGCAGTGAGTGTGGAGCTCAAAACAGTCATGACTTCAGCCAAAAATCAGAAAGGTTAAACAATTTTTTCTTAAGCAATTGTTTCAAATTCAAATATTAAAAAAAAAAAAAAAAAAATCGAAAAAAGACAGCCTGGCTACCTTTTAATCACACATTCCTCCTCAAAAAGCAACACAAAGCACTCTGTTGTACACAGAAAAGTTGCAATCCCTGGACTAGGAGCAGGAGCTGGACACAGCAGCAGTGACAGGAGGTGGCACAGGCATGTTCTGCCAGAGGTTTCCAGAGAAACGCGAAATGTGTAGAAACACGACAGAGAGAGGAGAAGAGAAAAACCAAAGCAGGAACTTGAGTGTCATCCTATTGCTCCCTAGACCCTCAGAACAGGCCTTCACTTCTAGGAAACACGTACGAGCTATAAATGAACTACTAACATAGTTTCACTTGCCACAATGGGTGAAGACATGCTGTGGTCTGATTTGAGGTTTAAAGAAAGCCTCAGGAAGCCTCTTCATGGCACTAATTTAAGCACAAGCTTACATGCTGGTCTCTGGAATTCTGTTTATTTTGGTCTGAAAGCTGCAATATGGGCACTACAAATGTTTGTATCTAGTAAATGTAAATTCTGCAGCAGTCTCTTCTAGCAATGGCAGCTGCATTATGGAAAGCGAGTCCAGACTCAAATGCTGTCTGAGCAATACAGGCTTTTTAGCACAGTGGTGACATCTTCTTTTCAAAAATAAAAAGCTGAAAGCTTTTCCTTAGATACTGTCAATTGTTCCTTCTACTTATCACTTGACAAATACGATTTTGGTAGGATAATATGACACATTCTCCGGTTGTATTTCACATTACTCCTCCAGATGTCATAAGTCCTGAATGCAACATTCTGCACAATTACTAACACAGAATTCTGGTTATACAAATGGGATGGAAAATACAATCTTTAACATTAAAAATATTCTCTAAAAGCCCTTCTCTATCGGTATGCTTTTATTAGAAATACAAGCAAGCCAATACACAAAAATGTCATCACAAAAGGAATACTCTTTTTGATTTTAACAGCAGTTCTTCATTCAATTGATTAAAACAAGAAAATAAATTTCTTATGTGCCTGTATGCTCAAGTTTTAAAATTTGTTTATTTTGTTTTTTAAAAAGGTTTGTTTCCTTTTTTGATCTCTCTAATTTATGTTTCTCAACTGTAGTGCCTCAGAAGCTTCCACCAACGAAAGCTAAAGCAAGTCCATCAACTTCCCAGTCAAGCAGGAAAAGAAAACTCAAACAGTATGTGTGCTACGGTAGCTGTACAGATAACTCCTCTGCGATCACAGAGCACAGGTTCTCCTAGACAACTACTCAAGCAGATGCTTAACTTCTCACACACCCCCTACAAAAGATGCTCCTTGGCTGATAAAGCACTCTAGTCATGATAAAGCACCATGCACTCATGACCACCATGTCACTGTGGCTTCTGCTCCATCGTAGAACTCAGACATAGGAACCTGGTCTGGTGTGTGCACGAATTCAGCATGGAGTCAGTCAGCCTTCGACCGCTGTCAGCAGCATCATCTCGTGCTTGGTTTTGGGTTTTGTTTGGTTGGGTTTGGGGTTTGTTTTATTGTTTTTTTGTTTGGTTTTCTTTTTTCCTATCTCCCCTGGGATTGTGTTGCTTTAAATTATCAAAATAACAGCAAAGTGGGCACAACTGAGGGCCTCAGAAGTAACTAAACCACGCTTTTTTTTTTTTTAATAATTCCCAATCCAAGATCAAAATATCAAAATACTTATTCCTTGATGTGCTACACTCCAAAGAAAGCCCATATTCTATTCCCTTTTTTCCCACTCAATTCATCACTATTTTAAGATCTATTTACAAGGATTTCGGTTGGTTGGTTGCTTTTTTTAACAGCTAACATCTACCATGTAATTTTCAACTGATGGAAGTAAAATAAGCCAAACTGAGAAACAATCTTTGCTTTGATAGTATGCTTAGTTCTCTATGACATTTTCCATGACAATGTGAACAAAATAATAATGTCCAGACACTCACCTCCACCAGTTTGGACAGCAGTCAGCTGTGGTCCCATTTCTCGCAGCCCTTCATTGTCCACAGGGTAAGTGGATGCCTGAGATGAACTCGTTCCTTGTGCATCATCATCACCCAGCGCTGCGGTCTGAGCCCTGAGCATTTCCAGGGCTCCTATGCTTGCCAGCTCCTCAAAACCTTCCGACATCTGAGCCAAGGGAGAATCTCGAGATGCAGAGAGAAACGGGGTGTCTAGAGGCGAGCTTGGAGGGGATAACGATGACAAGGAGGACCGTGATGACAGGGACGCCAGGGACTGTGGGGTATCCAGAGACCTCCGCTGCTTATTGAAATTCGAGTGTCCAATGGGATCGACGTATGGCACATCCTTGGTGAGAGACTCGAAGGGAATTATGTCAAAGCGTAAATGCTGCCCGTAGTCTGTAATGCTGTCTGATTTGTCGTACTGTGGAAGGCCATAGATGTCTGTAAAGCTGACGGAGCTGAGGGAGCCTCTGCTAGAGGCCAAGGATCCTCGACTGGAGGCCAGGGAACCTCTGCTGCTGCCAGAGGACATTGTGAGGGTGCTAGCGGACAGACTACAGCAGGCAAAGAAAGAAAATGCAACAAAGGTCCTTTCAAATATCAGAAACACCAGCGCAGACATAAAAACATCAATCCAGGTTACACAAGTCATTTTACATGTACACAGTACAATGGCATGGAGTCATGACTTGGCATTTTAAGGTCTAGCTCATGTTTCGCGCTCTGGTCTCAAGCACAACTAACCATGACTGGAATAGCGCAAGGGACAACCAAATCAGGACCAAGTGCCTGAAGACAAAGGGTCCAACAGGACAAGCCTACTTTCCTCCAACATGTAAGCAGCTCTAATTTGGCAGAAAAGAGACCAGAGCAAGATCAGGATCAGTGGACTCAATGTAAAGCCAGGAGGGTAGATTACCATGATTCAGCTTGAATTTACATTAATGATGTGTCATAAACATATCAGGGAGAAGAAGCGAGAAGAGATTTGGAAAGTCCTCAACAAACTGCCACGTAAGCTTCATGCTCATGGGTTTTTCCAGTGCAAAATAAAAAAGACTTTAAGAAGAATCCTATTCCAGTTCCTCTTACCACTCTCAGACAGTTAGAGAGAGAATAAGTGACAGAGAGAGAAGTGAGACACAGCAGGAACCAAGCTTTTGATGTTGGCATGGTGTTGAGCTGAGGAATCCTCAAGAGCTGCATCTAAAAAGGCAGCTGTGAGTGTGAATATGCAAAACATATTCTGGGCTTCTGTGTGGGTCTTAGCACAGTCTCATATTTAAACAGCAAAATTTTGTCATCTCACCAGGGATCAAATACACCTCCTTTGGAGAAGGTATCAGAATATTAAACTTCACAGAACTTAAAAGAATGTTATCTTTATATTAGTAAAACTGTAACAATATTACAATGGGTTTTAAGTACGTATCATCTTTTCAGAAAGTAAGATAACATATAAAATTCCCAAATACACATAATAATCTAGCCCAAATAGCCATCACTATTACTATTTATAAAACTCCATCCAAATCATCACATTACGTAGACCAAACTATAAATTTAGTAAAAAATTAATTTACTTGGTACATATACGTAAAAGTATTATAAGGTAAACTTAATAGATTATTAATATTATTCTCTGCTGCAGTTAAACTTCAAAACCGGCTGGTTTTACATAACTCACCTTTTTAACTGGGAGTGTAAATATGAGGTTAAACGTGTAGCTTCTTCTAGTTGCATAAGCAAACAATTTCTCTTTTCCTGTAACAGTATCCTATAATTAAAAAGATACATATTACTATTTTTCTTCATTACAGCCAGCAGTACTCAAGAAGTAATAGAAGCTTTCCAAGTACAGAAAAATATCATTGCATTGCAGTTTGGAACATAAAGAGAAGTTTCACCGTTTAATGAAGTTTTAATTTACGCAGCTCATACGCAGCAATGGTAGTAATTCCGGCAAGAACACAAGAATCAAGACACCAGCAGAATTCCCAGATAAGAAAAGTAATTGAGGAACAATGTAAGAGTTACGATGTTGAAAATACATTACAGCAACTAGCAAAGTCATAAAAAGTCCCAGGTAAAAACATCAGACTCTACAAGATTATTTTTTTTCGCCTTGCATCAACCTGATGGTGCCAGTAAAATACAGAGAACTACTATGATTTTCATCACCTTGGCAGGAAAAAAAATATTCCAAACAATCCTATTATCCAAGCTAATTAGTGACACATTCCAAAGATAAAAATAAAATTTTGAGGGGACTTCTGTTAAAACTCACTTTAAGCTCTAATTCTAGGTGTTTCAAGTATGTTTATACATCATTATATTTGAGCAGGTGATGCGGCATTTTGAATACTAAGCTATGACAAAATTCTCTCCCTGCGACATATTTTTTGCCCGCTCTAATAATATGCAGTTGTATTACTGAGCACCACTGCCACAACACAAATGGAATATATCTGTAATGGTGTAGGTCTCATATACCTATAAGATGTCTTAAATTCTGTATTTTGAGATTATTACAACTTTGAAAAATAGATTTTATCTATTAATATCACATTTATTAGAATTCTAGATTCAAGAAAAGAAGTATTCCTGGTGTTTTGTTTTTCCAAGCCAAATCACTGAACTTCAAAATAAAATCAGGGTGGTAACCTGTTTTGCATTGTACATTTGTATGTTCAGGAAAGTTACTGCTCCAGCCCTGCATTCACAAGTTGGCTGGAAATTGGGGTTCTGACAGACAGTTTGGAGAAAGCAGATCAAATTTATTTTCAGACTTTCCTCAGCTGCAAAGACAGCTGTTAGAATTCAACATGCTAATGGGCAGGATAAAAAAAAATAATCAATCAACAAAAAGGGAGTCCTTCTGGATCAAGTAAAATGACAGAATTAGTTTCAGTAAATTTTGGATGGTTAAGATATGAAATGAAATATGTCTTTGTTAGCAGTAAAACCATAAATCTCTCTACTTCTTTGGCTTCCAACTTCATCAATTCGTATGTTGGCAAGGGGCTGCAGCGCTATGCTCCAGCAACCCCCCCACCCTCTGGAGAGGCTCCCTTCATGGCAACCACATGGCAAAAGCTGCACACTTGAGCACGTGCAATGCTGAAGCTTTTCTCCTGCTTCTGTGGACCCAGACCCGGTTAACCGAGTGGTATAAGGCAGGCTGCAGGCTCGGCTTAACTGTGAACTCACATGATAATGGCACTGCATGCAGGAACCAGGAGAAAAAGGCAAATGGAACCAATTCAAAAGCTTGCAGGAGAAAGAAGGAGTATCCACACCATCTACTTTAAAAAACAAACTTAGGAACCTACACTGTACAGTCATCAATGCTGTAAGGTAAGTTCCTGCGCTAAGGGCAAGAGATGCATCCAACTAAGGCTGCCAGCCAATCTTAAAAACCAAAAAAAACCTCAAAACAAACCCAACACCTCCCTTCCCCCCCTCAAAAAAAAAGACACCACAAAACAAACAAACAAAAGCAAAACAACAAAAAAGCCCACCTCTGTCCTACAGATTTTAAAGTTAGTTCTGATCTGTGCATAACCCAGTGCCTTTCAAACTCAGTAACAGAACCTAACTGGTTATTATTTAAAGAGGAAATTTCTTTGTATTTCACGATTGGGAGAAACTGGAAACAGAAATGCAGAACTAGGAATGGTCTTGGTTATTCCTGAGCCTAAAACAAACAAACAAATAAATTATGCCTAGTAATAGTTAAGCTTTCCTCCAATTTGTCATACAAAAATAGAGTGCCCTTCAATATTATTCTAACTTCTACTCAATTTTGCTAGCATTTGAAATATCAAGTATCACATTGGAACGCTGTTTTCCACAGCATGAACTACATGGAAAAATAGCTTGGCCTTCTTGCCAACATAGTATGCACTACCTAACATGAGAGCCCAAAAACAATAAATAAAACTTACTACACTGCAGTTTGAAGTGAACTCCCTTTTCTGTCAGCTTAAGCTGGAAAGCCAATGTAACAATACTGCAAAAATTGCAAAATATATAACACTGAACTGCAGGTTGGCTGTGAATTTTCTACTTACTGCCTGAATTAACTGTCTGAAGTAAGCCTTTTCAAAAGAAACAAAGTTCTCAACATTTGTATATGGAAGGCACTTCCAAATATTTTAAAAATGTCTTAATTATGTAAATATTAACCTTTGCACAGGTCACATTAAAGCTGGTTCATGTAGTTTTCCTCAACTGTCAAACCTGGCTTTTTACCACTATTTAAGAGAAGCAGGTCTGTGAAACAAGTACTTTGTCACTTTCACTGGAAGCAGTCTACAGTAACAAGACGAGGTTGAGAAATTTTGTCCATTTCTTTGGCTACAGGAAAAACTGGGCAACTTTGAAATAAACACGATGTTTCCATTAGTATGTTGAGGGGGTTGTTTGTTTTTACATATAACTTGATATTAAATTTACATTTTCAAGAATGACTCTGCTACATTCTCAGTATCAGAGTTGGGATGTGCTCCCACCGCTGAGATTGTAAATTAAAAGGAAATATACAAAAGGCAGTAAAAATATAATCATTTAGCTTTCTTGTTATAAGACATAAACCAAATATAGGAAAGGATGTTTGTTCTGATGCTTTCAGGGATGAATATTACTCCACTGCAAAATAACAGAAAAATCTTTCGCTATCCAGGTACTGTTATTCAGGTCTCTATTACCAGATAATATCACTCAGACTTTTTCCAAGTATCTTTTGTGACTCTATTCTGATCTCTTCTTCCTATTCAGATTTTTTTTTGATGAGTGAAAGGAGAACCAATTGGTCGACATCACTCTATCTTTCCTTCAGAAAAATTCAAGACAGACAGAATTAAATAATGGCAGTGAGGGGCAATCTCTTCCTTTTTTGAAAGCAAATTACTCCAGGAACATTTTCTTCTGTTTCTTAAACATAGTGAAATTCCCTACTTTTCCTTTTGAAACTACTTATATGGATCTTACAGCAGGTAAGAAAACAATTTAAGTTCCCAAACCTTTCAGTGGCCCCATGAGCAGACGTTGCTCGAGCCCGTTGAATTTCATCCTCCAAGCGCCTTTTTTCTTCCTCCAAACGTGCAATGTCTTCTGGTGATCGTCTCTGCTGACTGATGAGCTGCAACTCCTGAAGAAGAGCCTCCTTCTCTTTGATGAGCTGAAGACGGTCCCTGTCCGCTTCAGCCATTCCTGGCCAAGATTCATTGTCTAGCAAGGCCAACTGCTGTTGTATATTCGAAACTCTTTAAAAGAGAATAAATATATTTCAAAACTCAGAAGAGACAAATATGAAGACAATTAAGAGGAAAAACACCAAAAGGTGAAGGTTGTGACTTCTGTGACTCTTCTCCTTCTAAATTTCGAAACAATAAAATTTAGAGGAGCTTGGATGTATTTTCTGGTTTTTGACATGTTTTGTTTTGTGCATTTTTAAAATTAGTACTAAAGAACTGCAAACTGCTCCTAAGCTGCCTGGACAGTTGCTGAAATTGAACTTCTTTTCATTCCTCACTCTTCCACTACCAGATCTTAACTTGAGATTTCAAAAGCACAGTGAGAAGTTGAAGGGGATGAAAGTGACATGCTTATCTAGTGACAATAGATCTGCATATTCATGTCCCACTTCAGCAGAGCAATGGTTCAATGCGCTGAAAATACTAGGCAGTCCTGATCAACAACAAAATTTTAAGAATAAATAAGCTGCCAATAAAATAAAAACACAGGTCTGGAAGAAAGATTTACTGGTTACAAAATACAGGTGTATTTAGATGGATCCATCACCAAATCAAGCAATTACATAAGGTAAATTAATTTTTTTTTTTTGCAGTAGGCTTTATAGCCGAAAGTAGTTTCCTATATCTCAATATTCTGAACCACTGCATGAAACAATAGTTGTAAGAAAAATTCCACGGCTGACATTTTAAGAAAATGTTCTGCTAAAACCAGATTTTGAACTCTTATAAATATTACAAATAACCCTAATGCTTAAATTTTCATAAATGTTTATTTTGGCAAAATCTAAAGGTATACAAGCATAACAGGAAGAACACTCTTTTACTGCTAGATATTTATGCTTGTCTTACAATGGGCAATTTAGAATTTTAGAACGTTACAGTTAAAATTAAAAGTAAATAAGAGAAAATCTAGCCTTTTTATTTTTAAACTAAAGAGCTGCACAACAGTTATGCACCTCAGTTTCATCTTCACTTTGAAACGGCAGCATTCAAAGTTCAGTGCACCATAAAAGATTATCACTTTTAAAATAAATAAAAGCATATTTAAAGCCATTCATAGAAGTAAGATGTGTTCATTCTTTTGATAAGTTAGTTTAAATAATCTTTTTTTCCAGAATATCTAGTAAGAAAGAAAAGAAATTCACAAAAAAAGCAAGGTAAAAGCACAAAACAAGCAAACAGAAGATCCTTAGTGTGATAACGTGTTTAAGAATAAAAGAAAAGGCATAGTCATGACAAAGGTAAGGTTTTCCCCATCTAAAACCAATCCTCATGCAATGTTTATTTCATACTGACATCTGGAAAGTATTTAAGACATCTTATTATCAAGGGAAGGGAAATAAAACATCAATATAAGTCATTTAGCAATGGCTGCATTCATATATGAATAGGAATTTTACTGTGAATTTTGTCAAATAGGGTTTTTTTTTTCCCCTTAGATTTCATTTACAGCGAGTAAAGAACTTAGGTATTGTGTTACATTTTAGTCTGAAGCAGAATACTTTATCAAGCCCTTCAATATCATTTCCTCCTCCTTGCATTAACAACCAACTTCCTGCCAATAGCTACTGAAAGCACCATTGTGAATCGATATGTATAGTCTACATATTTCATGCCTCGGCTATTGTGCAGGAATTCCAGATGCAGCTTCCTGAAGAACACCTCACCCCATTGACCAAATGCCAGGGCCAGGAAGAGCAAGCAGAGTCAGGATCCCACCTCTCCTCTACTCACACTGCTACGCTGTTAAAGAGTCAGTAAACACTCCTGAAGGTGTATTCAGCTTGATTTTCCATTGTTTGGTGCCAAACGAAACAAACAGGAACTCAAGGTCCTTTCAACAGAACTATAGAATTCAGGTACAACTGGGTTATCACAGTTTGGCAAGTGAGTGTGAATCAGACGAGCCCTGGCAACGTATTTGAGTGACCACGTTCATAAACCCTTACACAGCTTGTGGATGAAAGTAGATGAGACATGTCTGGTGAAGCCTCTGGGGTGGTTTGTAAGATAGCTGAAGGACTCTCTCTCTCTCTCTCTCCCCTTCATTTTAACACTCGCAGTTGTTTTGCTAGCTAATTTCTGTAATGCAGGGTGAGCTGGTTAAGAAGCTGACCATAGGAGCAAATAAACGCTAATGCAGGTAACAAGGAAGAGAGGCGTACCAGCAGGCAAGAGGAAGGTGGGATCCCCCCTTTCAGCGCTAGTTAACCACTGAACTCACTCAGCTGTAGAGTATAACAACACCCTCAGTACAAGAAGTTTAAATTTAGACTCTTGAGCTTGCTGAGAGCACGTAACTCTTTGTGTATTACATTCCAGTTTAAAGTTTGTTTTTTCCCCTCAATTTCTGTTACGATGATGCTTTGAAAGTAGGAAGTTGTCATACAGTAACTTAATTATACTGTTATTGAAGGGAAAAGTACTGTTGTGGACAAGGTTTGTATCACTGAAGAGTTCCAAAATTTGATTAGGTATTTACTTTGATTCCTTTGACACTCCTAGCATTTCAGCTAGCTCTCCTTGTCTCTATGTTTCCCTTTCAAGCAAAGGAAAAGCACTCACAAAACACTACATAACACAGGAATCTGTTGAGAGGGGAACTTCAGCACCAGCAAGCCAGTTTTCTGCAAGCTGTATTTCCTGCGAATGAACCAAAGTTTTCAGGGAATTTTGTTGCTTACTTTCCACTGAGGACTCTCCCTGTATGGCAAGTTGTTACAAAAAACTACCAGAATAAACTTTTTAAAATTTATCTCCTTGGCTAGAAAATATCTCCAAGGCTTTTATGGTCTCACTCACTCACTAAGAAAAACATCTGAGCAGCCATGTTCAGTTCTGCTAAAAACGTAATTTTAAAAATCCTCTTAAGCGTGTTCCATAATTGCAATTTGTCTTCTCCCAACACAAGCTTTACTTCCCCAAACACAATAAATGCATAAATAAGCAATTTCACTGTGCATGTCCGTGCCAGATTTTATACCTATATTACATCAGCCGTTCTCACTGCTGGTATGTTACCAAAAAGTGGCTGGTTTGTGTTTTCACACTCATTGTGTATATTCACCTACCTTAAACACCTGCTTAAATAAATCAATGACTTGACATAGATTTCAATTTAAAGAGAAAAAAAAGAAAGAAAAAAAGATTTAAGATCAAAGACACTTTTCCTTCCTACTGAGTATTTTTTAAGATACCACTTCTCAGGAGCAGTCATTGTAAAAGAGTACTTTTATCTGGCCCAATGCCAGATACTGAGGTCCCTATTGACATAGTAATTTAACGTATTCCTGGGGAAAAGCCAGTTAATTTTAAGCCATCAACATTCCAGCCATTTTGCCCATTCCCATCCTTACATAACAACTGCTGAGGAGCTTGCATTCAAGTAGGTCGTATCAAATGACTGGTTTCCGAGGCAGGCAAACCAACTTGCTGCTTATTTTGGTATTTAAACATTTCAAATGGAGATGAATATAACAGCTCCTGTTAGGCAGAAAAGCAGGAGGGGCGGATGGCATGACAAAGGTTTAACCTAGTGATCTTAAGCAAACAGTGATTCGAAATGGCCAGTTTGCCCTGAAACAGCCATGCTAACGTAGCTAGAGTGATGCCTACACCAAGATAATATAGACATAGCATGAGGGTGGAGATCAGTACAGCCAGTAGTTTACTACACAAACTGCACCATGGGGGCAAAAAAGCTTGTATTTTCAGAATTTACAGCATGTCTGAATCGTTATATATCTACACAGACACCCCTAGACAAAATAGGGCAATCCTTCTGTCACTGAAAATATCTGGGGAACCTAAAAGATTTTGTCTGTGTCTACAACCTCATTTTCAAGACTGCTATCTGAACCCAGCGCTAAAGAAATTATATTGCTGACCTTGAGAACATTTCAGTTTAGAAGAAGTTATTTATTAAAATGTAGCAGGAGAAGTGTAAAAATCACTTTTTGTGACTAAAATTACAATTAACCCTATGTTTAGACCATTTCTCAGATGATGAACAAGACAGGTGTCTTTGGGAGGGAAATACTCTAAAAGAACACAAACGTCCCAACTCATGCTCATAAAAGGAACAAATGATGGGTATCCTACAGCTGGTACTTCCTAACCTACAAGCTCTGGTCTTTCTAGCTTAAACAAGTTCTTTGAACTTACTTTGTTTGAACTTTCCAAAGAAAAAAAACCAGTACCCCCTATATTTAAATGCCTAAACTTTTGGGTGACATATCAGACCACTCTACAGCTGAGGCCTTTGTTACCTTTGGAATGGGAAGACTGGTGGGGATAAAACAAAGAAAAAAAATCCACAGTTATGATTTGAAGAATGGTAGCTAAGATCACACAAATATGCAGAGATGATCAACATAAATCAGCCCAGCTTACTCTTTTCCTTAGGCTTGTAATGGGCTTATAATTGGACCCAGTTCTCCACCACTTCAGGTAACAGGGAACTTCTCCCACACACAATACCCAGAGGAGGTGACTGTGAGACTGAAGACACATAATGAAGGGTGTAAGAACTCAGTAATTTCTGGTATTTACAGACCCTCTTCAGAGTGGATGATGATTTATATCCAAAGAGGGGAAGGCTAGAGAAAGGGGAAGAAAGAAATGGAAAGAACAAGAAGTTGGGTAACTCAGCCAAATGCTCACAAAATTTCTCCACTGTGTCTACTTTGGCTGTTCCTGAAAGTATGTGCCACTGTGGCTTTGGCGGACAACACGAGTACACTCTGCAGAATATCCAGCCTTCCTGGCAGCCTGATTCAACAGGAAGGAGGTCTTAAATTGGCTTAAGATACTCATGAAACCTTTAGAGTTCACTGGCATTTTGCAGATAAAATTAGGTATTCACCTTTAGGAAAATTGCAAAGTCTGCTAAAACCAGTGGAGGAGAGGAATTAGTATTCCTCAATTCACAGGTAAACTAGTATAATGAAAATGTCAAAGACGGTTCAAGACCATGGCTCAGCTCCCTTCATAACCCAAAGAAAAGGTTT